ATCGAAATGATCATTAGTTGAATTAAAATATTGATACCTGACAATATCTCTATTTATTTATCAAAATGTGCAAATTTATAATAATTGTATATAATTAAACAAGTCAAGATTTTGTGTGGATAAATAACCCAATTTTAATGCCAATAGGACGTTCTTGTGCTGTTGGACCTGTTGGGTGCTCCAGATCCTGCATTCTACAGCTACTTTAGTGACACCAATCGGTGGCATGCTTTGATGATAAAAGCAGAAAAAACCCTGTCTGATTTGGGTCACCTGCAGCGCTATTCTACTGGAAAACCAGAACAAATGTATTTCCGAGCCCAGTCTAGAGGTGGTGGAATTGAGGATGATCACATTCCGTTCCTACTAAGAGGTAGGTTTGTTTTAATGGAATTTTAGAAATGTTTGTAAATAATGACATCAGGCTTTTGTGAGGAAATAGAATTTAATTGTCATTTATAAAGAATGGGAAATGGCTCTATATTTGAAGTAATATGAAGAGCAGACTACAAGGACATCAGTAACGATTAGCTTGTGTGGTAGATAGTTTGAGCTGCTTGTAAATGTAAAACCACTGTATCACTTAGCAATTCTGTGTGAAAGTTTCATTCAGTGTTTATAATGATTCTATGTGTCAGTTTCCATTATTTACAACTGAGTGCCTTGTGAAATGTGGGATCTTGATAAATTAAATTTTGTAGTTTCTTTTCTCTTTTCCTTTCGTGTACTTTGCCAGGATAACCTCTGGAAATTGAATATTATGGAAGGTGAACATTAGTAACTCACATATCTGTCTTTTTATGGAAGTGTCACTTAATCATAATGGTGCTGTTTTTCTTTCCACGAGAAATTAAATATATAGAATAAAAGTCCATAGTTGCCTCATGTTTGTTGTGGAGTGTCTGTTTTAAAATCCACTATGAAACTATATTGAATGAATTTGCTTCCTATTCAACTGGACATTCTGTTTACAACAGTGACATGGCACTATTGGAATCGAATTCCCACACCATGTGCCATGCTTTTTCAGCAAGACACAGTTAAAGAGCCCAAGAAATGATCTTTGATTTCTTGATATTGATATTTATTTATGAGATTTTTATTTATACGAGATATATTGATATGATATGTTCAGTTGACATTGAGAAAGTGCAAAAATCTGGATTTTTCTTCACTTTTTCAAAAAACGTTCATTTCTTTGTAAAAAACAAACATTATATGTTTCTTAAGAATGTTTTTGGTTTTTAATTATTTTAAAAATATTAAATGTAGAAGAAGTTGCTAATATTGGAGGTACAGGACAATTGTGAGAGCGGTAATTTAAAACTAACTATTGTGAAGGAAGATGTGCTAGCTGAGAGGACTTACATTTGCAATGCACTAACAACACATTTCCATCCCTTTTTTGCAATATTATAATTTCAAGACATGATTGAACTGGAAACAAAACTTCATCAACAATATGAATGCAAGCCGGGAGAGCTGTGATCACTAAGCTCAATGGTTATAGCTGCCTTGTGCCTGATGGGTCATGGGTATGAATCACATGTGGGGAATGTGTGTGTGTTGTGTGGATGTTGGGTGTGTGTGGGAGGGGTGGGAAGGGGTGTGGTGTGTGGAGGTGGGGTTAGGGTGCGTGTGTGTGTTTACGCGTGTGTCCAAACACAAGGAATGCGAGTTCTACTACCGTTACCTTTACCCAGATCAATGCATGGCAAAGGATTAAAAGATAGTACTCTGGCACGATAGATTATTTTGATGCATACAGCAGTTGACATCATAGACAAAGTTGAGCTGTTTTGTAGTGTTTTATTTGCAACCATTGAGTTGTGTGTGGGTCCATCTTAAATGCCCTTTCCAAATTCTTTGGAAAATTTCTAAGAATGTCATTATTCAACTTTATCTCTTTGCCTCCTACAATGTGTTTGACACCATCCCCTGAGAACAAATTTGCAGTTGCAAGCAAGGAAAATAACGAACTGGTCTCTCTGCAATGGGGCTGAAAAAGTTTTAAATCCAACACCTTCCCTCTTGGCACGGCTATAGAAGCTGCACCTGAGAAACCCCGGAAAACCGTATGCTGCACAAGAACCTTGATGGTTTTTCTTGCAGGGAAAAAAGGCATGAAATGTAGCAACATTTGCTAACTATGCAATGTCAGTCCTGCGCCAATGCTAAACTGAAATACCTGTTCTGAATTTTGATGACTGTGACATAGAAGGAGATATCAAAGAAGGAAGAAGCAGCCTCAATGATGATTTAAATAAGGATAAAATTGGAAATTTGGTGTTAAAGTCATTGAGATTGAAAAGTCAAGGTGTTAAAGTCATCGAGTCATTGAGATCCTCCTACTAATACGCTAAAAACTAGGGGTGCTAAAACATGTACTTTCTCACCTGTAGTAATGGTTGTTATATTTATACCACAATTACTCTCCAAATTAACACATCTCGGTCATCATTTTTGGTAAAACATTTGTGCGAAAATTAAGTAGTTTCAAGAATTAGATTTTTATTCGAAACTTTAAATGAAAATATATTTCCGGCGTTGAATTTGTTGTATTAGGTGTGCAATGTATTGACAAACATAACTGAAGAGTTTTTTAAACTTACAATATTCTGTGTAAGCAGTATGCGAGAAAGTAAAATAATTAAAAGTTTATAAATAATACAATCCTGAGAGCACAGGCAAACAAATGCAAATAGATCGAAAAATATATAATAGTAGTTATTAAGCACTATAGTATTGTAATTTACTCCAAATATGCTTATTTCACGTGTTACTCCTTGTCTGATCATGTAATGCACGTTTTCACACCTAAGAAAATTCCCTCAAATTGTCTTTACTACCACTACTGCATTATTACTACTGCATTCAGAGATCAACATGTAAATGTGTTAGGGTATGGATACCAGAATTTATGAATATGTTCACAGAATATATTTCTCCCTATAATATGTCACTAAGTTTTCTGTTTTGACGTTAAATAAAAGCTATAAATAAATAAAACAATGCCTCATAATGGTTGCATGTCAGTTTTCACCAAAAGAAGAATTCAACACAATTTCACATTTTGTTACCTTATATTGTTGTTGTTCAACAATGAACATCTGAAATATACATCACTGCATTGTTACCCAAGGCAGCATATGTAGTTATATAAAATTAAAATGTTCCTAAAAATTATTTGTAATCAATTTTTTCAATTTTTCTTTCATGTAAAGTATTAGAAATAATTCTAATGTAATCCAAACCCAACCAATTTAAAAGAAGCACTTGTGGTGTATACCGGCTTTTGATTCGATAGCCAGGAACAGAAGTCTTTTCTAACTTTCAGAAATGAAACACACCATAGACAGTGATCAAAATTTCTTGAAGTAAAGAAGTAATTTGTTAGTTCCAAGTTAAATTGATTACTTTTCATCAATCTACTTTCTTTTATAATAATAGCAATAGCTTTTAAACACCACAACTTATGTTCACAAAGCGCAGTAAATTCAGTACAGGCAGCTTTGTAGTCAAAATTCACAAAAAATACTCATATCTTTTGAAAATGCAAAGGGTCCTTATTTGGAGATCTATTTCTTATGAACACATTTCATTAAGAAAAAAATTGTATCTTCATAATTCTAGTTGTAAGAAGATGTGGAAAATTTAAATTTTTTACCTGCACTATTCTCTTAAGCATCTATTATGCCATCTCAGGTCCCAAATTAGTAAAAAAAAGGTTTTAAGAAAAAATTATTTTAAGAAAATAAAAATTGCATAAGTTTGAAGATATGTTTTCGATAAACACATTCCATGGAGCAAAAACGTTTGTCTTCATAATTGTAGTTTTCGGAAGATGCCGAAAAAATTTTGATTTTTCAATTTTAAAAACATCAGGGATTTTAACCAACATGAGGCCTGCACTATTTTCTTAGATGCTCTTCCGACTATCAAACAACAAACGTTTATCAAAAAACAATGTAGCCATTTTTGAAAAAAAAAAGTTTATACAAAATTAAAAATTGCCAATATTTCTCGCAAAATTATGCGAAAAATTCTAAAATTATGCACAACCTTATTTCAAAATCTGTTTTTAAGGAATGGATTTCATTCAAAGGAAATATCTAGCTTTAATATTTTAGTTGTAGAAAGACTGAAAAAAATGTAGACCTACGCAGTTTGCGAAAAGTTAGTTGTTTAACGAACATGAGATCTGCAATAGTCTTACACGTCCTTCATACTATCTAACAACAAAATTTAATTAAAAACCATGGAGCCAATTTTTAAAAATTGCCTAGGGACTTCGTGTAAAGTACCTCCCAAAATTGAAATATCATTTTAAAATTCAAGGGTCTGCGAGATTAGCTAGATCGATTGGGGAATATTAATTTGGGGAAAAAACAGCAGAAGGGTTTACCTGCTAGCGTATTCACAGAATGACGGTCAAACCTATTGCTGTCAATTGATTTTTTGGTATCTAGAATCCACAAAACGTGACTTCTGGGTGGCTACATCATGTGTTAGAAGATTTTTTTTCTAAATTTAGCATCTGGATTTATCTAGTTTTTCGTTGCTATGGTCCAGTAATATGTTTTTCTGCCGAAAATTCGCCGTTTTTCGTGCAGCATTACATAACTTCCTTTCTCCTGCGCTAGCGGTACCGATAAAGTAAAAATTAATATTTTGGCTATTTTAGTATCTTGGCCTTCTTTTTAAAATCGAATTTGATGCTCTATAACTTTTATTTGGTAACATTTTGAATTAAATTTTTTTACTCATATATATATATATATATATATAATATATATATATATATTATATATATATATATATATATATATATATATATATATACACACACACATATATGGCACATCTTATGGAGAGAAAATAAGTATTTTTTAAAAGGTATGAAAAATTGGCATTTTTGCTCATAGCGTTTTTACCAGACAGTATAGGAAAATTGGATAGTATTGGTATTTCATTGATGCAAAATTGAATACTCTACATTTTTATTACAATATTAATAAATAATAAGTATAAATTAAATTCTTCGTTTGGAAGAAAGTGTTGAAAATCCTGAAAAAGTATAAAAGAATTGTTTTTTTAAAATTGAAACTGCCGAAGCTTCACTCAAAAATTGGGGCAAACTCAGATTATTCGTATATGAGAGACCTAAATTATGTTTTATTTGTTATCCTCGCTGCAACATGTCTCAGAACCCTTGTTGGGCATTGAGCGCTTGGAGTAATCCTCCATTAATTTCTTTTTGTCAAGCCTCGTCATGTAAGTGTCTTTTATTACTTATGCCAGCGGCTCAGCTTCAGTAGAAACTGGGATTTCCAGATAGTTACCCACCTAGGATCCGTGATATCTCAAATTTTTTAACTTCTGTGACTTCAAGCAATTTGGCTATCAACACTGACTTGAGTTATTACAACAGTTTTCAGAATTCTGCCAAGTTTTGGGACAGAACTATAATTGCTTTGTCTATTTATAGGTGCTTGCTCATTCTTTTTCAGCTTATTATGTCTCATCCATGTCACACACATTGCAACTATGGATAGTACTTATTTAATCTTTGATATTTCTTTTTGTTTATTCAGGTGTTCCTATTCTTCATGTGATTCCTCACCCTTTTCCTGAGGTATGGCATACTCCACGAGACAATAGAGATGCTGTGGATTTAACGACAGTGGATAATCTCATGAAGATCTTGCGAGTATTTGTGGCTAGCTACCTTGGCTTGAATATGTAAATTAGTGAAGTGGAATTTTTTCTTCAATCAATATTTTGTATATAAGTGATTGCTCACCATATTTCCTATTCATTCCTTTATTTTCTTGTTTTGAATTTTACGTAGCAAGTTACCTGTTCTGTGATCTGTTTTAAGTACAATGGTATCGAAACAGCCTTGGAAATCCCTTTCTAAACAGCTTACTTTATAAATAACATAGCTGCTGGAGGTGAAATATGGGCATTAATTGATATTGTACTGCGGTGTTCTCATTCCAGTGTACCTTAATGTTGAGTGGGTTACTTGTTGATAATGACCTTTTTTGTTCTTTTAAATGTTCTTATGAAACTTTTGTGATAAATCTGAATAATAGCTGGCTAGAATCAAAGAATATTTTTATTGCCCTGATCTTCTTGATCTATAATGTGCAGTAAGAGATAACTTTCTCCAGCAATTGAAGTAAGAACCATAAGGCCACCGGGTATACGTACATTAGTTAGCATTGAATGAACTTTAAATACTATTCTTGCTTACTATTTAATATTGGCAGAACGGTTTGACCATGAACTACCACCCACGTTCAGGGCCTGTTTATTTTGAAGGTTGAAAAGGTCAGAACATCAAAAACAAAAATTTGTCCTAGCAATTGCAATGAAAAGGTAATATTTTTTAAAAGTTTTTCAAAATTATAAGTGAAGTGATTTACAAAAACATTCTTTCTGATTATATTGTTCCAGTAGCAATAGCTGAATGTGAGGAACATGCTTGTTGGGTCAGTTGTAGTTATTTGAGAAAATTTACACTACAATTGTGTCAATGCTGTATCTACAAATTTGTGATCAGTTTTTGTAATGACTTGTTTTATAAATTTTTTTAACACAATTCCCACTGACTGCCATGAAAACATAATTGACTATGAATAATGATAAACATTTTCAAGTAAAGTGGATCTATTAAAATGTATTGTATTTACAAACATGTGCTACTTCCAAGGTTGCTTTCTCGGCTGTGCGTAGAAGGGAAACTGGTATAAAATAATGTGCAATAAAAACTATACCTATTGCACACAATCTTCTGACTTTGCCATGACCTTTGTTCTAAACAGAACATTAGCAGAAGAATCCTTTTCTATTAGTCTTCTTTTTCATGATCAATGATCAACTGGTATGCTTAAGTTTATTAATAGGTAGGGCTGTGATTTATATATAATAAAAACAGCAAAAAATGTTGTATAAATATATTTGGTAATATCTGCAATTTAAAAAAGGAAAATATGTGAAATAGTATAATGTAATGTGTAAGTGTAAAAATAAAATGTTTAATGTGGAAAATCTGTTTACAGCAAAAAGGTTACAGAAATCATATAAATATACTAGCGACAAACAATGTCAAAGGCTTAAATTTGAAGAACACTCATTTCTTGAAAAAATAATGGAAGGTGCAGTTAATGTACATTTCACAAAATAAAATATAAATATTGCAACAAAACTATGACTTCTTGTCAATTCACGACAAATTCCCAAGCCTGACTCTTTTAACACCATTCTACGTTTGTGCCATGTCTGGGCCCGTATAGATGCTTGGCGAATGCACTTTTCATTTTGACTGATACTCCTGATGACAGGACTTAGCGTGCTTCTTGGGCGACTTTGTACGAGTCAGGCGAGCAGCAATGCTGATTCGGGGCTATGGTAACTTAAACAAATCCTCCGAAGCCCATCCCCGAACAAATCCTCCGAAGAGCAGGTCACATGATGTACCATAGCAAGTGGCAAGAGAGCTGTCAAAGCCTTACACGCTGACAGAACTGTAACTTTTGGCCTTTTTTTCGGGGATGAGGGGTGAATATGCGACAAAAAATGCAAACATGCAATTATGATGATATATGCGAAATAAAAATAGTTTAAATTGTTTCTAAATTTCTCAAAACATATAAAATATATTGAAACGGGATGTTTTAGCTCACAGAAAAAATATGCAAATGCATGTAAATCACAGCCCTATTAACAAGTAACAATTGCGTTTAAATTTGAAAGATTTTTTTTTTTTTTTAAGGTTCAGATGTTTTAAATTGTGCTCTCTTCTACAAATACTAGTATTATTGTTAATTCAGGTTCATGAAAAATGTTCCAGATTAGCATTAAAAACACACATGTATTTAAATTTGTTTATACTTAGTTGTGACATAGATATGATAAAAAGCGTGGAGATTGTGTGTGTTTGAAATAATTTTAAAATATAGATTTTTAATTAGGCAACCTGAAAGAGCTTATGATGTGGGGTGTTGTGATACTTGTTTGGTGCGTTGTGTGAAAAATGTAATGGAATAATTCTAAAATTTACTGTCATTTTTCAGTTGGTTAAAATTGTTTTGGATATTATCTACAGAAAATTTTTATTTTTGTTGAGTTCTTAGTTATTGTTACGATATAATTCATATACTTTTGTTTGTGTGATTGTTTGTTAATGTACAGTGCTTTTAATTTTCGTTGTTTTTTGGACATACTCAGTATTTGATTCCATTCCTGGTGAATGAGATGAAACGTTTAGTTGTGAAGAAGTGTTATTTGACTTAAGAATACCTTCAAAGTTATATTTTTTTATGACCCAATAAAGTCTACTTTGAAGCAGAAAAGTGTTTTAATAGATAAAATTCCTAGAGGAATAGAGAATTTTGGCACGGGAGAAGCATTACACCAATTGACAGCACTATCAATCTTTCGCACACGTGCAGTTCAAGTTTCCCATCACTTTTGTAGTTTTGCACATGCACACAAGATGGAGATAGCAGTTGATTATTGTATGCTTTGCTATGCCAAAATTCCTTGACATTTAAATATCTTATTTCAGAAGGCAGTATTTCCTTTTAGCCGGTTTTATTTTAAATATGGGGTGACAGACCAAAATATATTAACTTCAAAATTTATTACAGTTTAGTTAGAAACAAATTCTTAATCTATGCTAATTTTTATGATTGTACACTAAAGACATGCCAAATCAATAATATTAAGTTAATTTAAGTTATAGAACAAATATAATTCCACAGATATTGCTGAACACCATTACCTCTTCAAAACACCTGTATTCTGTCGAGGAGTTTGTGATGCATTTTGATGCTTTTCCTGAAATGGACCATCTTCTGATTTATTCATAAAATGCTGCTCTATGCATGTGCAAATACTGATTGAGCTAAGACTGTCTTATTTAATTGTGAACTTTTGAAAAACTGAAAAGGAAAAATAAAGTTATTTTGCAGATAAAATTGAACTATAATATTTAATTATTAAAAAAAATTAAAATGTAATATTTAATTGTATTTAAAAATATGTTTTTCTCAAGTTTGTTTCTTCTTAAATTTTAAGGTTCCTTGTTCATGTGAAAAATGCTGATAATTCTTGCTAAGATGATAGGGATATACATTAATTCATTTTTGTTTTAAATGAAAATAATTTATTTCTAAGTTTTCCAAGCTTTTAAATATGAATTAAAACCATTAAACTCTAGAGTACTAGTAAACAGTAAAATTGACTTACTGGCATATATTTTTACAGATGACATCTTTTTTGCTGAGATGCATCTTCCTAGCCATTTAATATTTTTTCTTCTGCATGGATGTTAATATCCATGAAGTCACAGTTTTGTTATTGTATTTGTTTTCTTACTATAAGTAAACCTCATGAGATGTGTGAGTAAATTTGACTTACCACTGTAGTATTAAGGAGCTCTGACTGCTAGAGTCTTAATAACATTAAGCTTTACTGTAATAGGTGCTTCAATGTTTAATTAGAATTTTGTGAGTCTTTCAATAAAGATTTTTAGCAATATTGTAATTGCTAATAATTTAACATTATTTTCTTTGTAGAAATTGTTCTCTTGGTGTAAGTAAATTCTTGTTACAAGCAAAAAATTTTAACACTATTTCTAGGGTTAACAGTTTTTTTCAAGGGCCAGAGCAAATTATTAAATTCAGAACGAATTGGATTAAAAAGAAGATTCTTTGGATAAAAAATGTAGATACTAAAATTTCTCCCCAAAAATTCTAGTCACTTTCTCGTTTATTTTTTTGTTCTTGTTACCTCTAAGATTGATCTTAAAAATTCTGTTACGCCAATTTATTCACATTTATGATTCATGTTTCAGGACTGCTTTTCATGTTATGAATTCTTGATTTTGTTTCTCTTCTCAAGCAATGAGATATATTTTCCTGTTATATTCAATTTTAAATTTCTCTTTGACAGTGAATACATACAAAATGAAAACTATTTCATATTTTTGTGAAACAAGATGAATTCTAGGGTATTTAGTAAATACATTTGAAAGTGTTTTAATTTTTTCCAATAACACAATTGGGTTAAGGAAAGCACTATAATGACATTTAATTGGAAGCAAGGAAAAATAAGGTTTATTTAGAGATATGCATAGAACTCAAAAAGACCTGGAGCATATGATATATATTAAGGAGAAGTTAAATTATCTTTTTACTCTCACGGCAGTCTTAGATTTCTCACAGGTCTTTGCCGACATTGATAGAGGGCACTAACTTTCTGCATCTACAAAGAGGAAAAAATGTAGTTTACAAGTACATGTTTGAAGATTTCAAATCACACTTTGCACAAATCAGTATTATTGAGAACAGTAACACTAAATCTTAGGCAGCTCTTTGTGATATGACATTGGTTTCTGGCATGGAAGATGTCAGTTTATTCAGCTGTCAGATTATTGTATATGACAGTCTTCACTTCACTCTTGAGCATTCGTGGTAACATGTAATATTTGCAATACACCTTTCACAATGGCCTCTCCTTAATCCAATTTGTGTGTGATTTATTTCAGAAAGTTTTAGTTTACCCCATGGTGGAAATAATTGTGTTATATCCACCATGGTATACCTTTTCAAACCTGCTTCTAGGTATTCCATGCTTATCCATTTCAAACATGTGTAAAATAATTTTCATCATTTAGTATTACCTCTTTACCTTGTGTCACATTACAGTTCAATTGTTATAAAAACTTGTGTAAAAAAGTGAACAGTATCTGCAAAGTTACAGTATATTTTTCACAAATCATTCTGAGAAAAATTGTTTCTTTTCGTTACAAAAATGTATTATATTTACATCAGTTGATTGAAGATCTGGTGTTAAGGAATGTTTGATTTGTAGAATTCGATTTAGAAAGTTGGATGTCATTATCGCCTTCATGAATGATGATATCCAGCAATTTGGATCATCATTCATGATTATATCGGTATTTGTAGATCCAATTCTGATCAAAGTCAGAGGATTCTTTCTAACCTTTAATCCACACATGTTCCTTTAGAAAGGAAGCAAAGGAATTCATCCCTTATACATTTACATGTTAAGGGACCTAAAAGATGTCTCCAAGCAAAATATGAAAGGATTTTTCTGCTCAAAGAAATAGTTTGTGTCCAGATTACACAACAGGGCTGCTCCTTCTCACAATATGTGATATTAAGAAATAAGTGAAGCAGTATCAATTAAATTCTAATTTGGGCATCTTCAGGCTTCTTTGAAACAAGCTCTAAGTGTTATCCATGATGCTGTATTTATCCAAGATTGTAATATTCAGGTAAAGAACCTGAAAGCTGGTAAGCATCTGCTTACTTTATTTCTACTTTTTGTAATGCATGTGTCTTTTGTTCTTGTTCAATTCCTTTTTCAGACTGTATTTTGCCCTTATTTTATGGACAGAAAAATTCAGATTAACTTTGACAATTGAACTCCAGCCTGTGGAAGAGATAATGATTTCCGAAAAGTCGCTATTATAAATATGATTTATGTATTACATATTTTAGTAAATTGCATACAAATTTTATTATTTTGATGTAAATCTGATATCCAAAATACTAAATTTTTCTGTGTATAAAATAAAGGCAAAATACAGTCTGACAAAGTAGTTACTTCAACAGACTGAAAGAAAAGCAATAATTCTAATTCAATTCCTCTTTGCGTTTGAAAGTTGATCTATTTTTAAAATTATAATACACTTTTAACACATTGTTATGATCTTATGTGATTTTATCTTGTTTAACTAATTTTGTATAGCCCTGATGATGAAAATATATTTTCCAGAAAGTTGGCAAACACCCCTGTAGTGAAAAAAAATTGTCTTCACTAGCCAAGTCCCATAAACCTGAATTACCGGATTAAGTAATCTACGAACCTGATTAAGTAATCCATGGACGCACCTTCAGGACCGTCGTCTTGGCGTGTGCTGACACGTGGGTACAATTATTAAATTATTGGCATTTAAAAAAATATTTCTTATGTTTCAAGGAGTTATTTTCATGATGCGAATTATTGTAGGTAGCCTGTGCATAATGGATGTTTGCGTGGTAGAATTGTTCTAACATCAATTTATCTTGGTACGTTGAGATATTGTGCTCCATTGTGTAAATCTTCAATTTACAAAATGATAGTAATTTCAAAGAAATTAAAAGGTTTTCAATAGTCATTTGATTGCATTACATATTTTGAGGTGCACGATGATTCAGAAAGTGGGTTCAAAAGAAAGTAATTTTTGATTAGGCTCCTCAGGTATTCTGCTGATATCTGGGGATTTCCCTAAAGGTTGTTCTGACTAAAATAATATTATTTCAAAATATTACTGCGGTTGGAGAGCATGATATTTATATCCAACCAAGATGTTAACTTCATTCCATTTATTAGATCTCAGCCTTTCATCTGGTTAGTAGCATTATGCCACGAGGCTGTTTTGAATTAATGTAAAGTGCTGTGTATAATATGAATACGAGTATGTGCTGGTTTACCATTCCCTTCCACGTTGTAAAATGTGTTTCTATTTAGAAATTAAAGATATTCCAGAAAATTCGTGGTACTTTTAACTAGTCTTCGTGAAATAATGACCTATCAAAATCCGTCTGGTGGATAATATGTACTACATTATTTACTGTACGTTAAGTTCGTGCTGGTGATCTGATACTTGAAGACGGAAGAGAAACTAGTTTTCACGCTGCACGCGATAATAGAAAGACGTGTTAACGCCTCTTGCGCCTCAAGGTTGTGGCCAAGAGATGTTGTATGAAGTTGTTGAAGGTGCTTTGATTTTTTAGAAGATAATCGTTTGAAACTTTGTAAGCCGAGGAAGCTTGAAAATGTTAGTTCATTAAAATATTGGTATAGCGTGCCTCTTGGGGGCTCTGGTGCAGAATGTCAAATGAGGTTTTTCATAGTCATCACGAACTTCACTGAGGGTCAGCGGGTTTCTTCATTCGGGGACCTTGCCTCGCACTCCCATTTGAATTGATCTCGTAAACTATTCGTCTGATTGGAGTTTGCTTTGCACCTATGAATTTCTCTTAAAGTGTTCTACTTGTATACAGAATTTCAGATAGCAGCGCTGAAATTAATATTTTTTCCAAATTTGGCACGTAATGGGGACGTATTAGTAACTTGATTAGTTTTGGTTCCTTTTGTATCTCGTCTATCTGGTAAATTTGGTCTGATTGAAGTTTGCTTTGCACCTATCAATTTTTCTTAAAGAGATCTACATGTATACAGAATTTAAGATAGCAGCGCTGAATTTAATATTTTTCCAAATTTGGCACGTAATATAGGGTATTTTGTAACTTGATCAGTTGAGGTTCCTTTTGTTTCTCGTCTATACCGGAAACTATTCATTTGATGGAAGTTTGCTTTGCACCAATCAATTTCTTTTAATGTGCTTTACCTGTATACAGAATTAGAGATAGCAGTGCTGAAATTAATATA